AGACTTGGTACTTTTTTTATTAGTAACAAATTACTTGCTGTATATTATAATTTACCATGGCACACCAGTCTGTTATGAAGTGACAGTTGAAAACTGCTGTGTTGGAGCTTATAACAGTAGGAGGGACAGGATTTACTGCTATAAAATAACTGAATAATTCAGGATAATATAAAATATACTGAAATGGGATATGCATTATTACTGCTCCTTGAGGGCTTTTATAGTCAAGGAAAGCTTTGTGGAGAAAATGGCTACTGAAAAAACAGATAGCGCATCAGCCCAGGTTCTTAATTGTAAGGAAGAGAAATATAATCTGATTGATTTTAAGCAGAAAAGAATTTATTAAAAAGATACTGGGATGTAATTCATATCCTTTGGCGCCACAGTTTCATTCCTAGATATACAGCCAACACACACACATACATGTGTTTACCAATATATGCAAGAATGTTTGCAACAGTGTTTGTAATAGAATCAAACCAGAACTATCTAAATGTCCATTAAAGGTAGCATAGATAAGTAGTTTCTTTTTCTTTTTCTTTTTTTTCTTTTTTTGAGACAGAATTTCATTCTTATTGCCCAAGCTGGTGGAGTGCATTGGTGCAATCTTGGCTCACTGCAACCTCTGCCTCTCAGGTTCAAGTGATTCTCCTGTGTCAGCCTCCTGAGTAGCTGAGATTACAGGCATGCACCACCATGCCCAGCTAATTTTTACATTTTCAGTAGAGGCGGGATTTGGCCATGGTGGCCAGGCTGGTCTCAAACTCCTGACCTCAAGTGATCCGTGCTCCTCGGCCTCCCAAAGTGCTGGGATTACAGGCCGGAGCCACCACACCTGGCCTGTATTCACCTGATCATAGAAGGTTATACAGCAGTGAGCACAGACTGCAATTATGCACAGCATGGGTGAATCTCACAAAACCTAAAATTGAGTGAAAGAAACCAGACACAAAAGAGAGCATAGTGAATGATTTTATTTATATCAAGTTGAAAAATGGATAAAATTAATCTATAGTGTTAGAAATGAGGATAATGGTTACCCTTGTGAAGGGAATAGTAACTGGAAGGGGAAATAAGGAGGGCTTTGGAGGTGTAGTTGACCCTTGAACAACACAAGTTTGAACTGTGTGGATCTACTTATACATGGGTATAAGGCTCAAGCGATTCTCCTGCCTCAGCCTCCTGAGTAGCTGGGATTACAGGTGCCCACCACCAAGCCCAGCAAATTTTTAGTGGAGATGGGGTTTCACCATGTTGGCCAGGCTGGTCTCGAACTCCTGACCTCAAGTGATCCGCCCACCTTGGCCTCCCAAAGTGGTGGGATTACAGGTGTGAGCCACTGTGCCCAGCCCTCCTTATGATTTTCTTTTTTTATTTTATTTATTTTTTTTTTTTGAGACGGAGTCTCGCGCTGTGTCACCCAGGCTGGAGTGCAGTGGCGCGATCTCGGCTCACTGCAAGCTCCGCCTCCCAGGTTCACGCCATTCTCCTGCCTCAGCCTCCGAGTAGCTGGGACTACAGGCACCCGCCACCACGCCCGGCTAGTTTTTTTTTTTTGTATTTTTAGTAGAGACGGGGTTTCACCATGTTAGCCAGGATGGTCTCGATCTCCTGACCTCGTGATCCACCCTCCTCGGCCTCCCAAAGTGCTGGGATTACAGGCTTGAGCCACCGCGCCCGGCCATGATTTTCTTAACATTTTCTTTTCTCTAGCTTTATTTTCAAAACACAGTATATAATACATATATAACATACAAAATATGTGTTAATTAACTGTTTATGTTGTTGGTAATGCTTCCAGTTAACAGTAGGATATTAGTAGTTAAGTTTTGGGGGAGTCAAAAATAATATGCAGATTTTCAACTGTGCAGTGGGTCAGCACCTGTTCTGGTAATGTTCTGTTTCTTGATACAAGTGGGTTTGGTTTGTGAAAATTATTTGAGCTGTAGACTTAATATTATGTGCACTTTTCCCTTACATCTGTTATACTGTGCCTGTTTCTGTACATATGTTACATATGAAATGTTTATTAAAGGGGTATATTGGGTAACTCAGAATTTCTGGTGCTCCTGGCTATATATACCAAATCCCAATTCAGGATTCAACAACCCAGATCATGCCACTGAACTGCAGTACCACTGCCAAGTGTGAAATTGCAGCTTGCTCTGCTGGCCTTGTTGCCTGGGAGCTTGATCCTGCTTCTGCTACTCCACACCTGCCTCCCAACCTGTTCCATTCCTGGCTCCATTTGCAGCCCTCCTTTCAACGTGTGGGGTGGATACCTTGTTAGGCAGAGCCTAGCACAAGTGGTCCTCCTTACTGCAAGGGAGTCTGTGAAAGCAAGTATCCAGTGTTTTCAGCTTTTATAGTGGGTGGTGATTTCTGCCAGAAATTGTAACAAGGGGACAAGGGGTATTTCAGATTTGGGACAGCCAAAAAGAGAGGAAAATCCATCTTTGAGGTGAGCATTTAGGCCAGTAGAAGAAAATAGACTTCAGGTGTTAGGAACAATAGAAGCCCAGGGTAGAGGTTGAATAGAGTATGGCATTTGAGCCCGGTGGAAACAAGTTTAACTGGATTACAGGGTGTGCTCTGGGAAAATAGTTTGAGAGAAGTTGAAGCAATAGGATGGGACAAGATTAAAGATTACTTTGAAAGTCAGGCAGAGGAATTTAAATTTCATATGGGAATTTTGGAACCAGTAAAAGTTTTTGAACAAGAAAGTGTCGTAAAAGGAAATGGTGCTTAAGGATTGTTAATCTGGCAGCACTTCTAGGGGTATCTAGGCATTGTTTGTCATAATTTAGGTATGGGGTGATAGATTGGGAGTAGAAATAAAAGGCAAAGATTGGATTTAAGAGAAGATTTGAAGGAAAAAAAATCAACAAGACTTCTTGAAGAGAAAGAAGTAGAGGCTATTTCTGAAACTGAGCTTGAGTGACTGATCCCACTCTTCATTTAGAGCTAGCGAGGCTGAGGAGGGACCCAGTTTGGGGGAAGTAGAAGAATGAACTTTAGTTTGAGAATTGCTGAGTTTGAGGTGAGAGATATTGAGTAAAAGTGGTCCCTGTGTAGTTAGAGTTGGGGACCAAGAAGTGGAAAGAATTGTACTCCCAGGTATAAAGGCTGTGAAGGGAATGGAACAGAGTGTGCCAGAACCCTCGGGGTGTTTCTGAGCTCTTGTTTACAGGCCACCAGGTATACTATCTTGAATTTGATTTCAAGTGATACATTTGAACCACAACCTCTACCTTCTGTTTCATAAAACGTCAGTTCTCACACCCTAAGACACATTGATGCTATCCCTATTATACATGGTCTTCTTCCTGTTATTCTAATATCTTTGGAAAGAAAACGATTAATACATTTGAGGCTTTTCTTGGTTATTTTCAATACTTTTGAATGCTTTGAATACAAGGAGAATAATATACTAAAGCTAGAGACCTTAAACAAGACCAAGAAAGACTGAATATAAAAAGCAAACCTCCAGTTCATTAAAATTGTAAGTTGGAGCTCTTGGCTCCACGGCAGGGAGCCTTGGATCAGTAAGTGTGACAGCTCCCTTCCGTATTGTACTTAGAAAAGAATGATCATAAAACCTACTTAGGCCTCACAAGGTCTTTTTGAGCCTTAGCCAATGCATTTAGTCACTGTCAGTAACCACAAGCTTTAGTATAATATTCTGGCTTGCAAAGCAGCCAGGTCTCCAGAGCATGACGATAGGCTCTTGTATACGACTTGAATGCTGTTGCCGAGGCATACCTTCTTGATATTCATCTTAGCACTTTTCTCTAGTCTATAGCATGTCCGTACCTGTAGATGACAGTGGATTGCTCAGATATTATTAAAGAGTATGCAAGTATCTTAACAGGAAACAGCTTACTCTTTGGGTAATGTGTGATACAGTGAAGAAAATCCCTTAAATGGTTGCTCAATATTTATGCTGCTGGCATGTGTGCTGGAATATTTTTTCACCTCTGAATTCGTATTTTGAGTCCTTGGGCTCTTCAGTTTAATAGGTAATGTTTCTGTGTTTAAGTGTAGAAGATCAATCATGTTAGCTGAAAAGTCCCAAGGCTTTTCTGTCTCTGTAATATTTCTCTGCCTAAAGAGGTAGCAGGTTGAAAATTTAGGAAGTAACTCTGTGTCAAAAAATTCATCAGCCTTTCTAATCAATTAGATTTTAAAGTGAAACAAAGTGATAAACTTTGCATTTATAAGAATTCATGTTTTTCTTACGGATTTAACAGCCCTTTGCAACTCTGCTTCCTTGGTTACATGATACTCGGAAAGAATATCTGATCACATCAGAATAAAATCGTTTGAGAAGACATCCATGTGTCATAGGTTATGTAGCTTGCAACAGGATTTAAAGCAACAAGATGATAGAATCTATCATTATTTTTGCAGACAATGTTTCACCAGCTGGTTTGAGAGGAGTTTTACACCCCTACCAGGCTTTCTCTTACCTCATTTACCTCAAAAATCACAAGTCCTAACAGGCAAACTGTAATAGCCTAAAACAAAACTAGTAAGGTATAAATGCATGTGGAAATGATTATTTGAAGGCAAAAGGCAAATAAATGTCACCAGTCTGAGCCATTACCTAAGCATCCTAGGTCTAGTAACCATTCTTTTGGTAAGGGATAATGCCAACTTTTTATCAATAGGATTCTGTTAAAAATACAAAGAAAAACAGTCAGCAGGATACTCTCTCTATATATACACATACATATATATACATATGTATGCGTATACATATATATGTATGTGTATATATATAGTATCCTGCTGACTGCATGTATATATATGTGTGTATATATGTATGTGTATATATATAGTATCCTGCTGACTGCTGACATATATGTATGTGTATACAGAGATATACTTTTGTTTCATTTTAGAGCTGGTTGAACTTCAGTGGTGGATAGAGCTTGTTTTTAATTTATATGTATTTTTGTAGTACAATTTTAAAATCTTATTTTTTAAAATAAATCCAGGAGCTGTGCAGTCTTACGCATTGGAACTTAATTTGACAGATTCAGGAAAAGCCACTTGCCTTTATGCAAAATGGCAGATGAATTTCACAGTACGCTATGAAACTACAAATAAAACTTATGTAAGTATATATTTTAATTTTTCTTTGAGTTTTATAGTAGGAATTTAATTGACTTTTTTAATCCTTTAGATACATGTATACAAATGAAATTCCACACTGACTGACTTAATGCTTAAACTCTGGGAGTTTTTTTAAGCATATACACTCGGAAGTTATTCTGTTTAGTGTTAGAATGAATATTTCTTCTGATTCATTGGTTCTTGGGAGTTTTTGCAGGACTTGATTAAGGGCAAATGATCTGAAGATGACTATATGGTGTTCAGGTCTAACTATTTCTGTAAGGTGTTTAAAATGTACTAGCACCAAAGCTTGCCCTTTTAAAAAATAGCTTCCCTTCTGGGCGTGGTGTCTCATGCCTGTGATCCCAGCATTTTGGAAGGCCAAAGCAGGAGGATTGCTTGAGCCCAGCCTTGGCAACATAGTGAGACCTCATCTCTACCTAGAAAAAAATTTAAAAATTAGCCAGGCATGGTGGCATATACATGTAGCTCCAGCCACTTGCCAGGTCGAGGGGGGAAGATCGCTTGAGCCCAGGAAGTTGAGTCTGCAGTGAGCGATGGTTGTGCTACTGCACTCCAGCCTGGGCAACAGAGCGAGACTCTAGCTCAAAAAAAAAAAAAAAATGCTTACTTAGGTTGGTACAAAAGTAATTGCCATTAAAGGAACAAACCACAATTACTTTTGCACCAACCTAAGTAAGCGATTCTTTTTGGCACAAACTGCAATTACTTTTGCACCAACCTAACACTAAAATCTCCCCCTTTTTGGTGTCTCCTCTTAATCCCTTTGCCTTCTTATTTTCTTTTTGTTAAGGTCATGACTAGTTACAACCTAATTTTTTTAAAAAATCAGTTTAAGAACAGCAGCTCAAGCCAGTTTTCCTTTTCTTTTTAGACATACATGAATTTATCCAGAGGAGTGGTATGTAGCTGAAGAATCAGGGACTGGTTTACACAGCAAACCAGGCAAAGGGCAACCTGGCCACGGAGAATGTATGATTTAGGCTGAAGTGGCATGCCCTGCATAAATGGTTGGTGCTACTTGCTCCCTGTTTGTTTCTCACCCCCAAATTTCTATTTCTTTTAGAAAACTGTAACCATTTCAGACCGTGGCACTGTGACATATAATGGAAGCATTTGTGGGGATGATCAGAATGGTCCCAAAATAGCAGTGCAGTTTGGACCTGGCTTTTCCTGGATTGCGAATTTTAGCAAGGCGGCATCTACTTATTCAATTGACAGCATCTCATTTTCCTACAACACTGGTGATAACACAACATTTCCTGATGCTGAAGATAAAGGTAACCTTAAGAATGGATGTGTGTTATGTTCTCTTGCTTTTTATTAATGATAATGTAAACAATTTAAAAATTGTTATGAATGTCTGTCTTCCTAACTAGCATGGAAACTTCATGTCTTTATACCCCTCCCACCGACCCCATGCGTAGCACATATGCCGCCATCCAACACACTGATGATATTTGCTGTCATTGCTTGAGTGACTTACTGTATACCAGGTATTACCCTAAGTGTGTCACCTGCAGCATCTCACTTAATTCTTAACAGCAACCTTGGCAAGTAGATGTTGTTTCATTTTTACAGGTAAAGGAAATGAGACTTGATAAGATTAAATGACTTCCAAACATCTCACAATCTAGTAAGTGGGTGAGCTGGTGCTTGAAGCAGTCTGTTGACCTGCAGAAGTTGTATACTTAACTCTTATTGATTTCATTCAGTAGTGGGCACGAAACAAAGGTTTGATGAATGAGAAAATGCTTTACTAATAGCTACTTTATTTTCAAGATGGGGAGTCTCACTATGTTGCCTAGGCTGGTTTCGAACTCCTGGGTTCAAACGATCCTCATGCCTCACAGCCTCCTGAATAGCTGGGACTACAGGCATGCACCACTGCACCTGGCTACTAATAGCTATTTTAAATGTGTACAAGTTAAGTAACTTGAGATTAGGAGAAATGCCTCTTGTTCAAATCTTTTTATCCTTTAGGTTGGATTTTGATTGAAAAGCAAATGATGATTAGTAAAAGGTATAGTAGTCCCTCATTACACTCAGGGGGTATCATTCTAAGACCTCCAGTAGATTCCTAAAACTGCAGTTATTACGGAACCCTATACAGGAAATGCTATGTTTTTTTGATCTGATAACCAAGATGGCTACTAAGTGACTAAATGGATGGATAGTGTAGACAATGTTGATATACTGGATAAAGGCATGATTCATGTTCCTGGTTGGGCAGAGTGGGACAGCAAGAGATTTCATCATGCTACTCAGAACGGCGTACATTTTAAAACATGAATTGATTACTTTTGGAATTCTCCACTGAATATTTTCAGAGCTCAATTGACCATGGGTAACTGAAACCAGGGAAAGCAAAAACTGGATAAGGGGAGACTAAAGTCAACATTTGCTGTTATTTTAAGACAATTTCAGGTCAAAATGAACTTGGGAAGGCATCGGCAATTAGGCCATTCTAGTAATTCCCAGAACTGAAATGCATGTTAAAATATTTTGAAGATATAGAGTGTAGAGGTTTTATTTTATTTTTTTGAGCTGGAATCTCACTCTGTCACCCAGGCTGGAGTGCAGTGGTCTGATCTCAGCCCACTGCAACCTCTGCCTCAAGCAATTTTCCTGCCTCAGCCTCCTGAGTAACTGGGATTACAGGTGTGTGCCACCACACCCGGCTAATCTTTTTTAGTAGAAAGGGGGTTTTGCCATATTGGCCAGGATGGTCTCGAAATCCTGACCTCATGATCCACCCACCTCAGCCTCCCAAAGTGCTGGGATTACAGGCGTGAGCCACTGTACCTGGTCGAGATTTTAATTTTGTTAGGGATGTAATTCTCTTCTTTCTCCCCCTGCCCGTTGAGACTGAGTTAATGTGGTATTTGTAGTAGCTTAGCTCTTCACACAGATAGTGTTTCATTTTGACCCCAGAAACACAGGTAGATGGGCTTTAGTTGCCTAGACCTGGGGATTAATAACTCATTTGGACTTATGGATATCAAAAGATCATATTTGAAAGAACCAAAGTAAATAAGCTCATGTAAAACTTGGGAGGTATTGCAGAATGAGACTTGGAGATCAAATCCTAGTGTTCTTTTCACTAATCTCTTAGTTTGAGAGTATAACTAAAGCAAATGGTTATTGCCTATCTTATTAGTTTATCTTTGTACCCTGTTTTACCTTTCAGAGCTAGTATAAGATTTGCCCCTCACTTTCAAGTAGCCTAAGAATGAGCTGGGGAGACAAAGCTAAATGCTATTCCTGAGTGACATGGAAAAATTGGAAAACATTGAGCTCAGTCTGATTTTGTTGTTGTTGTTGTTTGCGTTTTTGTTTGAGGGAGTAGAGGGTTCATAAATCTCTTCTGACAGTGTGAGGAAAACTTTAGACTCCCTCTGAAAAAAGAAAAAGTACACAGTAAACTTTGCATATGGAACATAGTCCCTGAACCCATATGTAGATCCCTGTGGTTAAGAGTGCCTGATTTAGGTCGAGCATGGTGGCTCATGCCTGTAATCCCACTACTTTGGGAGGCCGAGGCAGACTGTTCACTTGAGCCAGGGAGTTCAAGACCAGCCTGGGCAACATAGTAAGACTTCGTCTCTACAAAAAAAAAAAAAAAAAAAAAAAAAAAAGACTGGCTGATTTAAAAGTGTTCCCACAAGTGGTCCTGATTAGGAGGAGTGATAAAGGAAGGCTTAGTGTGTGTTAGAGTAGTGAGAAAGCTTGGTAGAGAAGTAGGACCTGAGCTGAAACTCAGCTGATGGTAGAATTTGAATAAGTGGAGGATTTTGAGCAGGATGTTTCCAGCAGGGGGAAGCATAGCATATGCGGCAGTAATTGGAGAGCTGCCTGATTAAATCAGAGGCTGTGTGTAGCAGAAGGAAAATAAAGTTGGTTAAATGCAGTGGGCCTAAATTATAGGGACCTTGGAAGCCAAGGAAAGACATTTAGCTTCAGGGGGTAGGCACTGGGGAATCATTTTAGGTTTTTAAAGCAGGAAAATGATATAACAAAAGCAGAGACAGTAGCTTATAAAGAATATTCTGCAGGATTGGTTGAGAAGTGAGGAGACTGCAGGCAGAGATTCCGGCTTAAGAAGCTGTTATAGTAATCAAGGGCTGATGTAATAAATGCCTGGACTATGGGGGCAGCAGTTGTTAGCAGTTATTAGGAGGAGGTGTTTAATCTGACATATTTGGATAGAAAAACTATGGACCCTGAAATGTTAACACTTCTCTCTTTCCCCCTTTATTTAAAACAAAGGGAGGATTACTTTTTAAATTACTACCTTCTGTGTAATAATATTTGAAACTATTGGGAATGCTAAATGGCTTCCTGAAATGGACTATTGATAATTGTTTTTGATATAGTTCAGTGTTTCAAGAATACTAATTTATGGCCGGGCGTGGTGGCTCACACCTATAATCCTAGCACTTTAGGAGGCTGAGGCTTATGGGTCATTTGAGGTCAGGAGATCGAGACCAGCCTGGCCAATATGGTGAAACCCTGTCTCTACTAAAAATACAAAAATTAGCCAGGTGGTAGTGGCGCGTGCCTGTAATCCCAGCTACTTGGGAAGCTAAGGCAGGAGAATTGCTCGAACCCAGGAGGCGGAGGTTGTGGTGAGCCAAGATTGTGCTGCTGCACTCCAGCCTAGGCGACAGAGGGAGACCCTGTCCCCTACTCCTCCCCCCAAAAATACTAATTTAGGCCAGGTGCAGTGACTCATGCCTGTAATCCCAACACTTAGGAAGGCCAGGCAGATCGCTTGAGCTCAGGAGTGTGAGACCAGCCTGGGCAACATAGTGACACTCTGTCTCAAAAAATAACAATAAAAAACCACTAATTTATTTTTAGGCATCTGATAATTGAAGTAACATTGAAGTTGCTTTATTCTTTTTAAAAATTTTTTCATGATTAAAATATAGAAATGTACTTGCCAGGTGTGTTGCTGGCTCATGCCTGTAATCCCAGCACTTTGGGAGGCCGAGGCAGGCAGATCACCTGAGGTCAGAAGTTCGAGACCAACATGGCGAAACCACATCTCTACTAAAAATACGAAAATTAGCTGGGCGTGGTGGCGTGTGCCTGTAATTCCAGCTACTTGGGAGGTTGAGGCATCGGTTGAACCTAGGAGGTGGAGGTTGCAGTGAGCTCAGATCATGCCACTGCACTCCGGCCTGGGCAACAGAGCAAGACTCCATCTCAAAAAAAAATTATATATATAAGTTACATATATAATAAGAGTTTCTTAAAAGGCCCTACATATATATACACAAATATTCTATATATATAAAGATTATATATGTATACAGAGAATAATATAGCAGACCCATATGTACCCATTATCCAGAATTCATAAATGCTGTTTTTTTAATGTCTGTGTCACTGTTTGATTAAAAAGATAAAACGTTGACGATACAGTTTATATTTCCTTTGTCTTCACTCCCCAGACCCATTTTCCTCCTTGCCTGCTAAGAGGCAAACACTTTCACGAATTTGGGGTATAACCTTCCTGTCTTTATGTTTGTTTTTCACTACATAAGTACATGTTCATAAACAATACATAATTTAAAAAAGCTATTCATAGTATAACTCCAATATGTCTGCAAGTTGTCTTTTCACTCATTTGTTTTTGAAGTCGGTCTATATACAGCCAGTTCACGTATCTATTCATTTTTGTTAATGGTGAGAAGCAATTCTGGGAAAAATGTTCTAGTTCATTGTTTTTTGTTTGTTTGTTTGTTGTTGTTTTTGTTTTTTTTTTAATTCCTATGGCCGTTAGGGGGTGCCAAGGCAGCATTATATGGCTGCTTGATACATGATGGAGAGGCACAGAAGGTGGCATATATTAAGGACCTTGGATACTTTTCCTTTCTTGCTACTTCTCCAAAAGAAGCCAAACCACTTAGGTGACCATCATCTTTTGAAGTTTCACTATATGCAGGCTAATAAAAACTATACCAAATGGCTGTAACTTACTGCTTTCATATTCTGAAGATTCCCTGAAATTGAATCATCTTTAAATTTAATCCAGGAAGAGGTTCTATAAGCTCATTGGAGTTAATATAACTTACTTGGGACTAGTAAAACGAAAATAAGGATTTACTATACAAATCCATGATTAATCCATCTCTCTTGCTTCCTTAGTTACAGTCACTAAGTCCTGTTGATTCTACCATAGATAAGTGTTTTCAGTTTGGCTTCTTTGCTCTCTTTCTGCTGCCCCACACCATCTTAGTTTAGGCAACCCTCCCTTACCCTTCACCTTAACCAGACCATCACCCTCTGGTTTCCCTCTTAAGTGGCTTCCCTGAAAAGTTTTCCCCCATGCCTATCCCCTACAAATTTGCTATCTTCCTTAAAATAAATTATGTATGTGTCATTTCCTGCTTTAAAAACGGAAGCTAGCCCTCCACTGCTAAAAAGAAAAGCCCAAACTGGCCTTAGGTCATAGAAGATGCTTCAAAGTATCATTACTTGCAACTTGTCTTTCCTTCTCAACCCCCATTTATTTTTCTTTTTTTTCTTTTTTCTTTTTTTTTTTTTTCTTTTTTGTCTTGAGACAGAGTTCTGCTCTTGTCATCCAGGCTGTAGTGCAATGGGCGATCTCGGCTCACTGCAACCTCCACCTCCTGGGTTCAAGTGATTCTCCTGCCTTAGCCTCCCAAGTAACTGGGATTACAGGTGCCTGCCACCACGCCCAGCTAATTATTGTCTTTTTAGTAGAGACAAGGTTTCACCATGCCCACCGTGCCCAGCCCCTAACCCCCATTTCTTCTTCCCCCTACTCCTTATCCACAGTGAACTGGTCATGCCCTTGAGCATGCTATACCCTTTGTCACTTTAGGCCTGGGGTAGGGCAGGCAGAGAGAAGAAGAAAGCCTATACAAATATATTTACATTATCATTTTTCTCCTACCTTCTTGGAAATAGCCATTGTTAATCTTGTTTTTTAGGAATTATTACTGTTGATGAACTTTTGGCCATCAAAATTCCATTGAATGACCTTTTTAGATGCAATAGTTTATCAACTTTGGAAAAGAATGATGTTGTCCAGAACTATTGGGATGTTCTTGTACAAGCTTTTGTCCAAAATGGCACAGTGAGCACAAATGGTGAGTACTTAAAGTATATATTTCTCTACTTGGATCCTAATTTAAGAGTAGAGTATACCAGGTAGCCTTCATTGAAGTCATTATCTGAAAGCATTTATGTATTAAGGTTTATTCATAGCTTCTACTAGGCTATAAAGTTTTTGTAAATAATAGCAATTCGTATTATTGTGGAACTTACAATTTAAAGTTTTTGATGTACAAGTTGTGGAATAGTCTTTAAAAAGACACTAGCTATACTGTTCTCAGCTGATAAAACCTAATCATTTTTTGAACAGCTCCTCGGATAGCTTGATTATCAGCTTTTTTTTTTTTTTAGCAGTTCCAAGACCAAAGCTTAGAAATCAGATGCATGTTCTAATCTTGAATTTTTAAAGTTGATTTTGTAATTTTTATATAGCTTTATGGAAAGGTAATAATTTCTCATTCACCAGTGCTGGAAAACTACTGACACTTCCTAAGAAGAGGTTGAAATGCCTATGATTTACCATAGGGCTAATGCAAATAAATGGTTCATTTGTATTTAAGTCCTTTGATGATTTCTAAGCTTTTTTCTGGTAAACAGTATCCTTCCTTATGGTGGTTGTATGTGGGAATAAAGAACCAAAAAATTTAAGACTTAAATCTCTGAATTTCATATCAGGCAGGCAAAGTTCTTTGGGAATAAAAAGATTTAAGGGTCTGAAAAAGATGAGTATGTGGCCATGTGTGAGCTGATAAAGCATATGGATGTGTCCTGAGTTTGTCTGCTGCGTCATAACTCATATAGATAGTCTGTATATGAAGCAGCAGTTTAAGAACCTCTGCCTAATTTAGTTTCACATATACTAACAAGATATTCTCTTCCCCTAATATAACCCTTTTGGACTTCTATTATGAGAAATTTTTTTGGTTTTCCCTGGCCTTATGAATTAAGAAAATGTCCACTTTGGTTTCTTTTGTCCCTTTTTGCTTGTTTTAGAGTTCCTGTGTGATGAAGACAAAACTTCAACAGTGGCACCCACCATACACACCACTGTGCCATCTCCTACTACAACACCTACTCCAAAGGAAAAGCCAGAAGCTGGAACCTATTCCGTTAATAATGGCAATGAAACTTGTCTGCTGGCTACCATGGGGCTGCAGCTGAACATCACTCAGGATAAGGTATAGGTGTCTATTTTTATTAATACATCCTTTTTGTATTTCATTTCAAATATTCCATATCCTACCTTCAGCCCAAAGGTAGTAGAATGGTTCAGTTTTTTGTTTTGTTTTGTTTTGTTTTTTTGAGACAGAGTCTCGCCCTGTCGCCCAGGCTGGAGTGCAGTGGCATGATCTTGGCTCACTGCAGCCTCCACCTCCAGGGTTTAAGCGATTCTCCTGTCTCAGCCTCCTGAGTAGCTGGGATTACAGGCGTGCACTGCCACGCAAAACTAATTTTTTTGTGTTTTTAGTAGAGATGGGGTTTTACCATGCTGGCCAGGCTGGTCTTGAACTCTTGACCTTAAGTGATCCACCCGCCTCGGCCTCCCAAAGTGCTGGAATTACAGGCATGAGCTACCACACCTGGCCTGATTAAGTTTTAAATGGAGATTTTATGTTGGCTTGTTGAACTTTGATTAGTTAGGAGTTACTATAGCCATGAAGTGTTAATGTCACTTTCAGGTGTTGTGTTGGCCGGCAGAAAACCTAGCAGTTTAAAGTACTCTTTGGGGTTTAGATTCTATTTGCCATCAGTGGATCAGAGTACAAACAATTGGCCTTTATTTCGGTCAGTTTAAAATATAACTTCTTCACACTTTGATCTGAAATGCAGTGTAGGTTGGCGTACAGGAATGGCACAGCTATCCGTCTCTCCAGCTATTGGATGACTCGGATAGTGTAGATGTGCTCAAGTACATGATGGCACTTCTAGTTGCAATGTTCCACTGAGGCTATAGAGGGAGGGAGTGCCAAGGAACAAATCCGATTTCCAGGATCCTGTGACTTAAACAAGCGAGACAGATGGCTCTTGTGCTCCATAAAAATGTGTGTTTTCATTTGGCTCATTATTGTAGAAGCTTTCCTCTTGTTTTTTTTTTTTTAAGTCATCTGAGTCATAGCTTGAGGACCCACGCCAACTTTGTTTGAAAGTTAAGACACCATGAATTTAAGTATCCAGACAAAAGATTTTTTGTTCTACGCTGCAGTTGGTTTTGGTAGCATATAAGGCTTTGCTGGCCACTTTTATAGCTAACCTGTACCTTTTCCCTTTTTTCTTCTCTTGAAGGTTGCTTCAGTTATTAACATCAACCCCAATACAACTCACTCCACAGGCAGCTGCCGTTCTCACACTGCTCTACTTAGGCTGAATAGCAGCACCATTAAGTATCTTGACTTTGTCTTTGCTGTGGTGAGTAACAGATTTTTCTAAAGTTAGGTTCATTCTCTTAGAAACACATCTGAAAGTCTAAATAATTGCATGGGCAGAGGGGGATATTTAGCTTTATTTTCCAGTTCTACAGTACTCAATTATAAAGTGTAGTCCATTCATCCCTCAGAGTCTGTGCAATGATCTGTGGACTGGACTCTTGCATTAATGTTCACCAAGAGTGGCCATTTTGCCATTATACAGACTCTAGGGTAGGAGCAAGAATTAACCCACATCAAAAAAACACAATTGTCTAATCTATCCATATATAAGTAATTTCCATGATAATTTTTTCTCTGTTATTAGGTGATGCTCATGTTTTTCTATGATACTATTTTAAGCCAGTTGGAGGCTATATTATTTGTAATAGTGTCAGTAATAAAAATAGGTAACATCTATTGAGTACTATGTACAAAGCTCTTTGTAAGTGTGTATATGAATTCATTAAATCAGGACAATTTATAATGGCAGCATTCAGGTTTTTGTTGTTGATCAAGAGCTGAAACCTAAACAGAAGGTTTTGGGTTAAGCATACCTGTTCTACTTCTTGCTAGCATAAATTAATCATTGGGGACCTTTATTTCCACCTTCTCAGAAGCAATTATTATTCCCATAATTTCTTTGAGGGGATGTATGTGTGAACATGTTGTGGCAAATGAGACTGGTGGAATAGAAGATAGCTATAAGTGAGGGAAAATGTTGAACCACCAACTATTCTCAAACTAAAAATATTGTATAATTAGATAAAAACCAATTCTGCTTTTAAATCAGATTACTGTGTTTGGGGATGGGGAAATAATCTCAACATCTGATATATAAAAAGTAGGTATGTTGTTATTTCATATGTGAACTTGGTATTTTGAATCTAAAGCACATTTTTCTCTTTAGAATATATGCCGAGTAATTGAGGATTACATTAAATGCTTACATTTTGGAAAGGTTTACGAAAATATTCCTTTTTCCAGCATTCAAATAATTCCTCTGTTAAGTACCATGTGACCGGTGAATTACTATTGAAAATGTCTAATTAAACTTGTCCTCTCCATTATGGTAAAAGCAAGCCTCAGGCACATTCTCTTTTAAAGTTACCTCATAGGGGCTGTGGTCAATAAGAACGAGGAAAGTAGTATTTTGGGTTTATTCCCTTTCAAGTGATTGAGTTTGATCTTTCTAGCTGTGGTAGACTCCTAAAAGGAACGTGATTTCTCTTGACTCTTATATGGCAATGTTTAGTATTTAAGAACTACAATATTTAAGTTACCCAGCAGGCTATTTTAAAATGTAATCCAAAATAGTGACATTTTAATCATGCTACAGGCACTCTGAAAAATCAGAGATACCTGCAATGTCCCCAGAGTTCAGTGGGACCCATTATTGCCTTCAACCCTGTCATGATAGATGCTCCTTAGGAGAATTTATAGAACTTGAGTGCGTTATGTGCAGGCTGCTTTGGTGGGTTATGAGGAAGAAAGCCAGTATTCTTAAAGTGCCCACAGTTTAGTCGTAATGGGAGAAATCTACAAATAATTACCATTTTTGTGAAAGGCCTACATGCCATGACAAGGCTTTTGAACTCGATTCTGTGGGCAGTAGAGTACTGTGGAAGGTGTATATGAAATGGGATGAGTGCCAGACCAGAGAATAGTACAAAGTGCTGCAGGAGAATGGAGGAGGGAGAGGTTAATTCTGGATGGAGGAGAGTCAGGAAGGTTTAATGGCAGAGATGGCATTTGAGCTGGGCCTTTGAGGATGGGTCAGATTTTTGTATATAGGGAGATAAGGAGAGTAAGTGGGAAAGTACAGGTTATCCCTGGATAAAGGGCATAATCAAGACCAGCTGGGAGAATGAGGAGTGTTATATGTTTAGTGAAAGTATGGAAAAGTCGTTGGGACAAATTGTGGAGTCTTGAATGCCAAGCCAAGATGTAGCCTAAGTTGAGGAGGGATGTGATGAAGGTGTGAAGTCCTCCTGTATGCTTCCTCCTGAAATTTCTCTCAAGTCTGTCCCCTAGCTTTTAATCCCCATTGCCTTTGCTCTGGGTCCAGTCCACATTACCTCTTGCCTGGACCATTCAAACAGCTCCTGCCTGATTGCTCCTCTTCCTCACCTTCTCTAATGTTCTACATCAACGTAACCTTCCTAAAGTACATCTCTCCATCAATGTTTCTCTCTTTCTTCCCCTCCCCTCCCCTCCCCTCCCCGGACTCTCGCTCTGTTGCCCAGGCTGGAATGCAGTGGCAAGATCTTGGCTCACTGCAACCTCCGCCTCCTGGATTCAAGTGATTGTCCTGCCTCAGCTTCCCGAATAGCTGGGACTACAGGCACCTGCCACCACGCCTGGCTGATTTTTTTGTATTTTTAATAGAGATGGGGTTTCACCATGTTAGCCAGGATGGTCTCGATCTCCTGACCTTGTGATCTGCCCACCTCACAGTGTTTCTCTTTTGCCAACAAAGTAACATCTAAAGTCCATGGCTGGGTAGTTCAAGCCCTCTTTTCTCCCATGCAATGCAGCCTGCATTTTCAGCCTTCACTCCCTCTTTATGAACCTTATGTTTCCTTCAGTTCCTTCAGGGTGCTTCCCTCACCCTGTCCTCTATGCACTTCTTGTGAGGTAAGAGAACATAGTAATAATAATTACATAGACTCTGCAGCCATACTTTTTGAATTTAAATCCCAACTCACTGACTACTAACCATGTAGGTTTGGCGGAAGTTACCTAACATGTCTGTGCTTCGATTATTCCCAAAATGGGGATGATAACAGCACCTATTGCATAGGAGTGTTGTAATTACTCAGGGAAGCATCATATGTAAAGTTTTAAGAACAGTGCTGGGCACTTAGTAAGTGCTCAAATGCTAGCATAAAAATTTGAGATTATGCTTATTTTCTAACTACTGTTATTTATGCTGTTGCTCTCTCGAATACCCCTTTTCCTGCTTGTTTCCTAAGAGAATCCTGCCCGGTTCAAAATGCCCCATCACTAAGCTGGCATTACTTTTTCTCCTCCCTTAGTTGGAAGTGATTTCTCTCCTATTTTCATGACTTCTTACTTTCTTTTTTGTAATATGGTTATTTATGTGTTTACCTTGCCTTCCCTGGCATATTGCTAACAGGGTGAAGACGGGATCGAAGTGTGGTTCATTTTGGTAGCTCCTGCCGTACTCACACTCTGAAATTATTAGAATGACTGGCTGATCAGATGAGTACTTCAGAAAGATAATAACAGTAAAAAGGAAAGATTAGGGCTGGAGGGGCTGAAAGGCAGGGAGCCCACTTAAGAGGCTGCTATGATCCAGGCTGGAGGTGGTGAGGTCTCAGCAAGTGACGGGAGGAATAAAATTGAGGCCATAAATCTTCAAGTGTCTGAAGACTACAAGTGTCACATGACTACACCTGTGCTCCAAAAGTTGGAAAGAATATACAGAGGAAAGGGGTTTCTGTCAGATTATGAGTTCTCTTTTACTTACTTACAGTTTGTTCTACAGCATGGTTTCTTCTTCTGTGTAATAGTGTTAGATTGCTTTTCTTCTGTGGATATTAGCTGTATCTGTTATCTGTAGACAGCTGTGATATGTTGATTAACTGGAAGCTCTTTTTCAAACAGAAAAATGAAAACCGATTTTATCTGAAGGAAGTGAACGTCAGCATGTATTTGGTTAATGGCTCCGGTAAGCGAAGCATTGGCCTGGGGAAAAAGACTGTGGGTTACCCTGAAGGATTAGAAATTACAGTGGTCTTATTACCAAATTGCGCCTTATTTAATGAAACAGAAGATGCTATGTAAAAAGTGTGCCTTGATCATACCTTAAAATCAGTAACTTAGAACTATGATGTTCTGTCTTTTTCTGTATCCCATCTTTTCAAAGTATGGTAGATAATAATTAGGGATGTAACTGATTTTTAGACTATAGAAACATCTATAGAAAGGTAAGGGAACCTAGTGATTGTAAGAATTGCTTTTTGTGGGTTGATCTTGTCCCCCAGGCTCCCATGCTTCACTGAAAAACCCTGAGGACTGTTCCTTTTTTTTTTTTTTTTTTTTTTTTTTCTTTTTTTTGAGACAGGGTCTCACTCTGTGCCCAGGCTAGACTGCAGGGGCGTGACCACAGCTCAATCCCAGGTTCAAGCCAACCACCCACCTTAGCCTCCCAAGTAGCTGGGACTACAGCTGTGCACCATCATGCCCAGTTAATTTTTTTTCTTTTTTTTTTTTTTGGTTTTTTGTATTTTTTGTAGAGACAGGGTTTCGCCATGTTTCCCAGGCTGGTCTTGATCTCCTGGACTCACGTGATCTGCCACCTTGGCTTCCCAAAGTGCTGGAATTACAGGCGTGAGCCACTGTGCCTGGCCAACTTTCCCATTTTTGATGTTGATAGGATAAGAAGTTACTAACCTGTTTCTTTTCTTTGAAGTTTTCAGCATTGCAAATAACAATCTCAGCTACTGGGATGCCCCCCTGGGAAGTTCTTATATGTGCAACAAAGAGCAGACTGTTTCAGTGTCTGGAGCATTTCAGATAAATACCTTTGATCTAAGGGTTCAGCCTTTCAATGTGACACAAGGAAAGTATTCTACAGGTAAGAATCAAGCAAACTTCATTAATAATTTATGTTCTTATGTTGACTGATAGGTGGCTTTTCCTTTGAATCACAGACATTTAAACGTTGAAATAGAGGAATATGAATTCACCAGAGGTCTCATAGCCTTGAGCAAATTGTACACCTCTATATTTGGCTCATCATTTTGCTCAACCGAGATGTTTTTGTGATCTTAAAATCATTGGCAAAAAAGTTCTTAAAGCTAAAAACTGATAGAAGCTTTAAGTGAGCTTTATTTGAGGTATGGGTTTTAGTTTGTAGAGAAGATGGCACTTGGGAGCGGCAGCTTTGAGCATGTTGCATCTGCTTCCTGAGGCCGTCTTCTCACTGGAAACATTTTCATACCTGAATGAAAGCAGTTTGGTCTGATTTTGTTAAGACAAAAGATAAAAGAGTGGTAGCAAAACCTCAAATATCATGAACTATGTTTTTACAAGCCAAAACGATCTGGAGAGTTTTCAAAGCATGTGCCAGTGTGAATGAGGCTTTTTGAAGATCACTCAGGGCTAATGGTAGTATTTATTAGATTTTTAATGAAACCCTTGTTTGATGGGTTCATTATAATGTGTTCATACGAATATGAAAGACATATTTGGCATTATAAGATTAAAATTTGCATGAAGAAAAAAAGCACGTAAAATTCCTTAATTGACTTGTCCTTTTAAGCCCATTACCTAAAATTGGGGGTTTGTGGATCACAACTCTGTTGAGCAGAGCTATTCCAGTCATCCACATACTTTTCAACCATTAATTCTATGGTTTGGAAGGAAATGTGGAAGCTGTGTTTAGAAGCGAATATACTGTGAGCCAGTCGACTGCTTTTGCAGTGGTGTTGAATACCTAGTCTGACTTGGTTAGGCCACAATAAATTGGGCTCTCCACCCTACCATTCTTGTGGTTAAAGACGTTAGTTACACTTTAAAAATATTTTCAAGTATTCATTTTCCCTTTTGCCTGTTTTGCTTATGCACTTCAATTATTTTGATCCTTTACTAGCTTTATTTTTGGACTTTTTATTTGGCTCCCCTTCATTACTCCCCTAATTTTAAGATCAGATTTGTGTTTACAGTTTAAAATCATTTGCAGTATTAGTATCATCACTTCAAGACGGTTTATCTAGTCAACTGTAATAGAGATGAGCTATGCTCTTTCTCTCACTTTGAAACTTTGGTTTTTATGTACGTAGAATTAAAAATATCACCCAAAGAGATATACAACATTTAATACTGATATTGAATGTATAATCTATTCGTGGAACTAGGTTCTTGGCTGTGGGTACCTATAAATACAACACATAGGTAATATTTGACTGTAAGGGAAAGAAATAGAATTGCAATAAGGCAGAAGAGTGTTGATTGGATTTTACTGGATCAGACCACTTTCTAGAAATAGAAAAAAATAGCCCCTTTAGGCTGCCAACCCTGACCAGATAAGAAATGCAGTAAGCACACTCAAATTAGTAAGAGGTCCCAGTTTCTTGACTTTGCAGCCACTAAAATTGTACGTTCTAAGTCATGATCTGCAAACTTTAAAGTTCCAAACAGTAAGTGTTTTAGGCTTTGGGGCCATATGGTCTTTGTCACAACTATTCAACTCTGCTATTGTAGTACGAAAACAGCAACACATAAACAGATGATGGGCTGGGTTCCAATAAAACCTTATTTATGGACACTGGAATTTGAATTTTATATGCTCTCATGAGTCACAAAATATTTTTTTCAACCGTTTAAAAATGTAAAAGCCGTTTTTAGCTCTTGGACCAGATTTGGCCCATGGGCTACAGCTTGCTGACCCCTGACTCTAAAGGGACTCCAGAGCCAGCCTGGCTATTCTCATCACATGATACCTTCCTGATCCTGTTTCTACTTTCCCAAAAGACATTCATGCTACCACTGAGCGGCTAATCTGGCTATGTAAAAGTGGGCTAGATTAGCTCCCTTAATTTGTGATAAAGTAATACTCCTATTTTGGAAAGGACTTGGAATATAAACAAACATATACGTGTGTGTATATATGTATATGCAAACATATATATCATATATATAATGTGTGCATTATATATCATGTATATAATTGCATTATATATCATGTATATAATGTGTGCATTATATATATCATGTATATAATGTGTTCATTATATATCATGTGTAATGTGTGCATTATATATTATGATATATATATTATGATATGAGCTGTGTTTATAGATGTAAATGAATATGCATGTATTCATATATATGAATATCTACATATATACACGTAAACAAATGAAAGAACAAAGTCTTAGAATTTTAATTCTAGAACAGTTCTCCATTTTCTATAGCTTTATCATAAAAATATACCTGTCTTAGTTACTTGAAGTTGATCTTGTAAGAACATTTCTGACTTTTAAATCAACATCTTTTACTTTAGGACATTCTTTTGTGATTATACTCATTATTTGTTACACACTTTTTCTCACCTACAGCCCAAGAGTGTTCGCTGGATGATGACACCATTCTAATCCCAATTATAGTTGGTGCTGGTCTTTCAGGCTTGATTATCGTTATAGTGATTGCTTACGTAATTGGCAGAAGAAAAAGTTATGCTGGATATCAGACTCTGTAACACTAATCAATACGTGATCTCTGTTACAAAAGAAAAAAGCAAGTACAAGTTCCAACATGCAATACTGGTCAATTTAAGGTATATTTAGTTGCAGTCCGGCTCTTTAGAATGGGTGGTGTGGGGGATTTCAAACTTAAACAAAAAACTATCAACTACAAATTAGTTGCCTGACTTTGGTTTCTCCAACCAAGCAATTTAAAACTTATTTTTACAGCAAAAGATGTGCAAAATCACTGAATTATAGGTTCTGTTTTACTGTCTTGAATTAGTATTTCAGTGTTTTCATTTTAGACATTTAGACTAAAAATACACAGTTTAGAAAAAACAATTTTTGAAAAAGAGATTTTTTTTTTCCCTGCATGTAGTTGAGTTGGAACAACATGTTCTACAGTGGATTTGTACTTGCTCCTTTTGCTCTTTTTTTTGTGATTTTTGTTTGCAGGTTAACTTAGCTACTTTGGCATTGCTGCATATTTGACCTATGAGAGATATACTGGTAGATTTGAACAGGGGCTGGTATTATGATGTTCTTAGCAATAAATGCTTTTCTAATGCTTTTTGAATATATTTGTATTTATGTGGCTGCAATGACAAAAGATACAAAAGCTTTTTAAAATTTAGAGTAGGTATTAATCTTATTGTTTAATCCTTTTTTTAAAAAACTGGATATTTCAATCTTTTAAATTGCAAGATACAAGACTATTCCAACAGGGCATTTCAATCCATTTTTTAGGTGCTTTAGAGATAATTGCTTGCCAGTGCCAATTGAGGGCATTAGTACTTTGTGCTCATAAATTGGCCTCTGTATGCAATACTAAAATTAATGCAGATTTCTCTTTAGCCTTCCAATATTTCTTGTTGGTAGTGATGTATTTTATTATTTTCTTTTTCTTAAGAAATGCCAGTGTGTCCTAGAACCTAGATAACGAAGTGCACTTACACTTATAAAATAACTTGCATCTAGGCTGGGCGTGGCAGCTCATGCCTGTAATCCCAGCACTTTGGGAGGCCGAGGCGGGTGAATCACTTGAGGCTAGGAGTTTGAGACCAGCCTGGCCAACATGGTGAAACCTCGTCTCTGTTAAAAATACAAAAAATTAGCTGGGCGTTGTGGCAGGTGCCTGTAATCCCAGCTACTCGGAAGGCTGAGGCAGGAGAATTGCTTGAACCCGGGAGGCAGAGGTTGAGGTGAGCTGAGATCGCACCATTGCGCTTCAGCCTGGGCAACAAAAGCAAAACTCCATCTCAAAAAAAAAGGCGAAAAAACAAAAACAAACAAACAAAAAAAAACTTGCATCTAACCCAAAAGTCTTGGTCTTCTCTTAATCCATTAAAAAGTTGTTCTTTGTTTCCAGCTTGCATTGATTGCTACAACAGTACTAATTTGGCTTTCACATTTAAATGGTTCTGTGCTAATCAAAACTTTCATTGTTATTATTCGTTATGGTAGAATCATTATTAATTCATGTGCTTTGTGTTCAGTTTTGTGCTCTGAGAGATGCACCAATTGTCAAATTACCGTGCACCACCTAATGTTTATAGGAGAAAGCAAAATACATCAGCTTGATAATTAACACATCAAATATTTCTTGCTGCTTCTGGGAGAACTTCTTTGGTGTGTGTTGGAATGGCAGAGCAAATATTAAAATTGTTAATATGCAGCCATATATGGAAGGTTCTTTTGGTTTTTTGTTTTTTGTTTTTTTTTGGTGGGGAAATTATGTGCCTCCCATTCACTAGAAAATGAGAAAATGTTTGGGTTCCAAAGTATTGATATTGAATGGATCAATACACACACACAGACATATATATATATATATATATATATATATATATATATGCACACATATATAGGCAGTTGCATGCTAGCATGTGTATTTTTATAACAATATAACTGAGTTATATTGGAATTACAAATATTTTCTGTCACTTAAATTTGCCCTTTATTTAGCCTGAAAACCTCTGTGGCTCAAGATCAGATTCCTGACTAACCCCTGTCTTAGAGCTACAGCGAGCTGCATTACCAGCTTAAAACACTTCTTAAAGATTAAATATAGATGTGATTTTTCAAAATCATATTTTATTTAAACTGCGTTTTAGTGTAAAATTGTTAATCTCATAAGATGGATAATGCGTATAAGAATGCAGGCCTTAACTATTTCACATGAGTCAAAACAAAGCAGCTTTAAAAAAATAGTTGGAAGCACAAGTGTGTGGCACTGACTGAATGCTGTTAATATTTCTAAAAGTTTCTACATTCAGATTATATGCCTGATTCATAGTAAAATACCTCTAATAAACACTGTTTTATAGAAAACCTGACTTCAGTGAATATTTTTGTATTTTACACGGGCCAGTTTATACACTGCTATTTA